GAAAGCCGCTTGCACCAGTGGCAACACCAACAGGGATCCGGGGCCCCTGCCTTGGTACAGCAGCATTGGGTACGCCGCCAGCAGGTCCGGCACCAGGTGCTTCACAGTCTTCATCACATCGGGCCCCAGCGCCTCCCCCACCTCGTCAGAACACGACTCAAAGCGCAGCCCCGGCGCCACGCCCAGAGCCTCCTGCACCGGAGGCAGCAGGAGCAACAGCTGGGGAGGCAGCTGGGGAGGCAGCGGCTGCCAGGCTGGGCAGCCTTGCAGCAGGGGGAGGGGCTGGGCTGGCAGCAGGCTGGGCTGTGCACAGCGAGCCCCCCCCGCCCTGGGCCAGCGGTGTCGCTTCCATGTGCCAGTGGGCAATAATAGAGGGGTGTGAAGGAAGTACACATCAGGCCCCACCTGTACTTCGGGCAGGTTCAGGTAGCAGTCCACCAGCTTCCCGGCATCATAGTCCTCGTACCTGCGGTACCAACAGCAGTGCCGCCAGCATGGCCACAGGTGCCAGGCGCAGCAAACTGCTGGAATGCCGAGGCTTCAGAGAGCACACACACACACACACACACACACACACCTGCCCATGTCCAGCAGCGTGGCGGCCCCCGCCGAGCTCCGAATGTGCTCCAGCAGGCCCGACCGCAGCCCATGCGCCTCCTCCCACCGCCCTGCAGCCACTCAAGGGCCAGCAGGCAGCACACGATCGGGCGCAGAGACCATCATGCACACAGCTCCGCTCTCAGGCGCCGAAAGGAGCTGCATCACCACCACACCCACCACAGACGTCGCCCGCCACCACCCCTGAAAGCACACACACACACACACACACATGCACACACACGCCGCCCTCACCCGCCGCGATCAGCTGCACCACCTCCAGCTGCATGGTCATGGCCCTCACGCGCTGGTGAGGGTCGATGTAGCCCTGGAAGTAGGCGGTGTCGGCGTGAGCCATGACCTGCAGGTGGCACACAGAGGAGGCAGGCCGCAGGCTGGGAATCAGCAACCTTAGTGTTCTTGAAGACGCTGCGCAGCAGTGCCACAGCCTCGGTGACCAAGCAGCGCGGCAGCATGCAGCGTGCAGCGCCGCAGCAAGCGGCAGAGAACCAAAGCTAGGTGGTGCAGGGTAGTGGCGGTGCAGGTGATGGGCAAGGCAGGATGTGGACAACAGCAGCTGCAGGCACAGAAGCAAGCAGAGGCAGCAGAAGCAAGCGCGAGAGCGCAGCCAGAGGCCCCTTGCCTGCGCCGCCGGGTCGGTCAGCCCGTTGCCAATTGCAAGCGCCTGCAGCTTGAAAAGCGGCGGCTCGCCCAGCAGCGGGCGGGAGGCCAGCAGGTGGGGCGGGATGGCGCGGCGGTGCTGCAGGCGCCGCTCGGCGCCCTCCTCACCCGCCGTCTGCTGCAGGATGAAGTGGCCTATGCTGGGCACATACTTGCCTGCAGCGGGCGAGCGGCGGGCGGGTGGCACCCAACGAACTGACCACCATTCATCTGCATGCATCGCTACCGAGCATAGCAGCTGCT